CAAAGGTAGGCCACATGATAGGACATAAAACAAGCCTCAAAAAAACTCAAGAAAATTGAAATCATATCAATCATTTTCTCAGATCACAATGGCTTGAAACTAGAAAACAATCTTAAGGAAAAAACTCAAAAACTCAAATTCATGGAGACTGAATAACATGTTATTAAAAATGAATGGGTTAACAATGAGATAAGGAAGAAATCAAAAAGTTTCTGGAAACAAATGAAAATGAACACACAACAGCCCAAAACCTATGGGACACAGTGAAGGCAGTTCTGAGAAGGCAGTTCATAGCAATACAGGCCCACCTAAAAGAGACAGAAAATTTTCAAATAAACAACCTAATCCTACATCTACAAGAACTGGAGAAACAACAACAAACAAAGCCCAGAGCAAATAGAAGGAAGGAAGTAATCAAGATCAGGGCGGAATTAAATGACATAGAGACTAAAAGAACAATTCAAAGGATCAATAAATCCAGGAGCTGGTGCTATGAAAAGATAAACAAAATCAACAAACCTTTAACCAGACTCATCAAGAAAAAAAGAGAAACGACCCAAACAAATATAATCAGAAACGAAAGAGAAATTACAACTGATACCACAGAAATACAAAGGACTGTATGAAATTACTATGAACTATATGCCAAGAAATTTGAAAACCTGGGTGAAATGGACAAATTTCTAGAAACATATAATCTTGTAAAACTCAATCAAGCAGCAGCAGAAAGCCTGAACAGACTGATAGCAGCTAGTGAAATTGAAGCAGTAATCAAAAAACTCCTGACATACAAAAGCCCTGGACTGGACAGCTTCACAGGAGAATTTTACAAAACATTTAAGGAGGAACTAACCCCTAGCCTTCTCAAACTATTTCCAAAAATCCAAGAAGAAGGAAGACTCCTAAACTCTTTTTATGAGGCCAGCATTATCTAATCCCAAAACCAGATAAAGACACAACAAAAAAAGAAAACTACAGGCCAATATTGCTTATGAACATAGACACTAAAATCCTCAATCAAATATTGGCAAACCACATCCAGCAATACATTAAAAGATCATCCACCGTGATCAAGTGGGATTCATCCCAGGGATGCAAGGATGGTACAATTCACAAATCAGTAAACATAACACATCACATAAATAAAAGGAAAGACAAAAATCACATTATCATATTAATAGATGAAAAAGCATTCGATAAAGTACAGCACCCATTTAGTATAAAGACACTAAGCAAAGTGGGAGTAGAGGGAGCAAACCTCAACATAATAAAGGCCATCTATGAGAAATCTACCACCAACATTATACTCAACAGGCGAAAACTAAAAGTTTCCACCCTAAGATCAGGAACAAGACAAGGGTGTCTGCTTTTACCACTTTTACTCAATATAGTATTGGAAGCTCTAGCTACAGTGATTGACAAGAAAAAGGAATAAAAGGCACCCAAATTAAAAAGGTGGAAGTAAAACTGTCATTGTTTGCAGATGATATGACAGTGTACATAGAAAATCCTACCGATAACTCTCCAAATGATCTCCATATGTATGACTCAGTTCTGATTCTGCTTGTTTGCTTTTTTAGTTTCAGTTGCTGAGAGTTGTGAATTTGTTGCCATTTTAATGTTCATATTTTTGATCTTCTTTTCCTTAAATAAGTCCCTTTAACTTTTCACGTAATAATGGCTTGACGATGATGAACCTTGTCTGGGAAGCATTTTACCAGCCCTTTAATTCTAAATGATTGCTTTCCTGAATAGAGTAATCTAGGTTGTAGGTCCTTGCTTTTCATCACTTTGAATACTTCTTGCCAGTCCTTTCTTGCCTGCAAAGTTTGAGAAATCAGCTGATGATCTTATGGGAACTCCTTTGTAGGTAACTCTCTGCTTTTCTCTTGCTGCTTTTAAGATTCTCTCTTTATCTTTAACCTTTGGCATTTTAACTATGATGTGTCTTGGTGTGGTTCTTTTGGGTCCAAATTATTCGGAACTCTGTGTTTTCTGGATTTGTATGTCTATTTCCTTCACCAAATTAGGGAATTTTTCATGTTTCTTCAAATAAACTCAATTTCTTGCTCTTCCTCTTCTCCTTCTGGCATCCCTATGGTTCAGATGTTGGTACATTTGGAGATGTCTCAGAGGCTTCTTATACTATCCTCATTTTTTTTTTTTTTGAATTCTTGTTTCTTCTTGCTTTTCTGGTTGAATGCTTATTTCTTTGCTGATGTGACCTCCAGCTTCCTCCCCTTCACTGTTAGTTCCCTGTACATTTTTCTTTATTTCACTTAGTGTAACCTTCTTTCTTCCCTTTATGTTGTTGCCATACTCAATGAGTTCTTTGAGCATCTGGATCACCAGTATTTTGAACTCTGAATCTGATAGGCTGGTTATCTCCATTTCATTGAGTTCTATTTCTGGGTTTTGTTCTGTTCCTTCATTTGGACCGTATTTCTTTGTCTCCTCAATTTGGCAGCCTCCCTGTGTTTGTTTCTGTGTTGCAGATAGAGCTGCTTTGACTCCCTGTCTTAATGTGGCCTATTGTAGAAAAGGCACCTGTAAATTGTGTGGGGCAGAGCCTTACATAATCACCAGGGCTGGGTAAACCACTTCACCACTTTGTGGCTCAGTGTCGGGGGAGAGCTAAGAGAGGGGACAGCGCTGCTGCTAGTCTTCTTCTGGAGGTTTGCTCAGCACTCACACTGTTTCCAATCACTTCACCCACTCCCCATATGCAATTGGTGCCCTTCCAGCTGTTGCCCTGGTGCTGAATCCCAGAGTGGGTGGGTCTGTATACATTCCAAGACCATGTGGGCCCGTTAAGCAGAGTATCCTGAAACTCCCCGGCAGTTTCTTCCAACACTTCAACCCCCACTGACTTTTACAGCCAGAAGTTACAGGGATTTATCTTCCTGGCACTGGAACCCTGGATTGTGCTTTCTGGCCTGGGACTGGGATCGCTCATTCTCGGGGTATGCCTCCAGATTTTTATCCACTACATGTCAATGTCGGACCACTGGTTCCAACCCCACTACCTCTCTGTGCCATACCACATCTCATCACCTCTCCACCCCTCCTACACATCTGGATGAATGTAGTTTCCTCAAAACCTTGGTTGTCAGACTTCCATAGAGTTTGATTTTCTGACGTGTTATTTGTTTTGAGGTTTAGTTGTAATTCTCTCTGTGGTTGCATAAGGAGGCAAAGCATGTCTACCTAAGCCTACATCTTGACTGGAAGTCCTGATTTCCAATACTTTAATTTCAGCTTTCCTCATAAAATATTTTTCCTCTCAGTTCTGCTCCAAATAGTGAAACGAAACCCAGATAATCAACATATTCGTGATATACTCTACACTTGATCTTAGCCAAAAGGCCAAGAAGCGATGTGATATACTCTAAAGGATTGAGATACAACTAAGAATTTAGCTCACAGATTAACAGGGTCAGAAATAAAAATGTTCCACAAAGCATTTTTATTTCAACTGGCAAAGAAAGAGAATAAACAGAACTGAGTGACTTCAAGTAATAAAAGGCAAAAAACAAAAACAACAAAAAAGAAACCCCTGGCTTTTAATAGCTTGTTTTGGCTATATCAGTAATAGAGAGTTTAAAATTCAAAGTCTCTAGTCACTTTTAAAGTCTCAAATTGATACAAGCCCATTGCCACCCACCAGCATCATTACAGATACACTAGTAATGTGATGAAAGTAGGCAGGTAGAGGCCAGATGTTAAAAAAATTAAAAATTAAAAAACCTTGGCCAGGCTTAGATGACAAGGAAAGGACAGCAGTAACTCTCTTCCTAGATCATGCAAGTAGTAAGTAAATTCCTCTCCAACCCACATCTACAGGAGCTCCTTGCCCCATTGCTTGACCACCAACCTCCCATATTTCAATATATCCAAAGGTTCTTTCCTTGTTTGCCCTCCTCTCATCTATTTTCTTCCCTTTATTTCTAACTAACTTAGTTTTATGTTGAATGACATCTTTTCTCTCCAAATTCCCTAATCTTCTCACTTTTCTTTCTAGGGTTTGTTTTTTTTTTTCCATCTGTTTACATTATCTGGATTACTAATTCCACTGTGTATGTGTGGGGTGGGAGGGCAGTGATAAACATTCGAGTTAATCAAAGAAATTTTATGTTGAAATAGGAAATAGTTAAACAACTGAACATGGATCTCTAGTTTCCCTAATATATCATCTGCACGTTACATGCATATTTGTTAGTAATGCGGCCTCTCATCATGGGTGTTGAAAGAAGTTCGTTATTCTTATTCAGATGAACATGAGTTGATGAACAACTGAATATATGGACTCAAACAGGGCTGTCATCTAAATCAGCATTTCCTAATGTTTATTTCTTCAAGCAATAATCCAAAAAGTGTCCCACAAAATAATAATAATAATAGTAATAATAATAATAATGTTTTTATGGTCAAATCACAAAGCATACCAGGTTCTCAAGGAGTCTAAGAAATCCTAAAACGAAGAAACTTGCTTATTAGCTTTATTATCCAGCTGTTCCCAAACTTAAGCTAATGAACCTTTTTTTTCCACACCTACTAAAAGCCCATGGAACATGCATTTAGGAAATGTTAATCCTAGTCACTAATTAAAATATACCATGTGAAGTATTACACTTCATGTTATAGTCTATATAGTTTTAAAACGTTGCTGTCTTTTGAAAAGCCAAAAGTGAAGTTACACAGAAAATAATTACAAAGTTGCTAGTTGGAAGTAATCCCCTTTAAATATTATATGTATATTTATCTTACCTAGGTTCATTTATGATTTAGGCTATAATTATCACTTGTGACTTTTTTTTTTTTGAAGGAGGGAATGAAGAGCAAAATTTTTCTTAAAAGTTTATTTTATCATATGGAATAGAACCTTTTACAAATATTAAGACCTAAGGCTGCTCTCATTTTTCGTTCATTCATTTTCATGTTTAATTATTCTGAAGTGGGAGGGAAAAAATGGGATTTCATGATTTAAAAAGCCTAATGAAATCCTTCTGTACTTCGTAAGTATGATGACTGAATGTTCATGCTCTCTTGTGAGATGCGCCTCCCTTCAGCTTTGTTATGACATTGGCACATTACCTCTCTGACGTGAAATAATAAACCTAATGAATACACAGCGTTGTGATATATGGACTTTCCTGAAGGTGTTACACAATAATAAAAAAAGATTTAATGAAAATGTGTCAATTTTCCCTTTAAGATATACCACAAATTATTTACTTCACAGGCTTTAAAGAGCATGTTTTTAAAGTACACACATTTTACCTGAAAGCTCCGTAAAGTGGTCTGTACCAACAGACAAATGAACAAGGAGTAAAAAGCAAGAACCACAGGATACTCAATCCAAAATCAACTCCTCGTGTAGAATCAACACAAATCCAAGCCAAGCATCCAAAGATATTTAGAAATAGTGTTACAGCATGGACTGTGGAATCAAAAAACAAAAAAAGAAATGTTTACATTCAATTTATGAGTTCATTCAACAAAAATTATAAATGAAAAAGATACTTCCCAAGAGCAAATGTATTCTACCACATGTTTTCATTTAGTATTTTTAAAACATTGCTGTTTCTTACATGTTTGATTTGAAAACAGAGTAATCAAAGGAAAAGTAGTCCTAATACATGCACTGTTTGGCAAAAATTCTTTTGGCCATTTCCTAAAGGGCAATTACACAGCTAAACCACAGAAGCACTACCTGAAGGGCCTCTTTCCTGAGAAGGAAACACGTGATATGTCTCTTGATCCAATGCCCAAAAAGAAAGTAGTGCCTGCCAGGAAAAGAACCAGGACTTAGGAGGAAAAAGATCCTACACTTGGAACTATATTTGTACAGAGTGGGGCTACAGATGTCTCCATGAGCACATTATACACAGAAGAGAAGTATCCCGTGCAATCTCATCATGACATTTTTAAGCAATAAAATTATAATCATTGGGCTAAAAATAACTAATACAGTAGAAATTCTCAGTGACTATACAGTCAATCTGTAAGAATTATTAATTCATCTTCATTGAATTGTCCATTTTTCGAAAGTCCTAGAGTACAAACTGTGTTTTGGTAGAGGATTAAACTTATTAAAGAAAAAAAAAAGTACACTATGACACATTTCAGCTCAGGGGCAGAACTTTCTTTAGTTAACACAAATAGATCTTGGCAAACTCTTCTTAATGTTGTTAATAATTACGTTCCCTGACAGACCAGAAACAAAAAATCTGAGTAACATATAAGTACACTCTAATCCTAAAGAACCACATTTACTCATTATAATTAATAATTTTAAGCACTTTCAAAAGTGTATTCACTGGCTGAATTTATTACAGAAAAGAAATTCCTTCAAAAGTTAAAATAATTTTTAATGTGAATTATCAATTCAATAAAAATATACCAACAAACTACTATTTGAATTAAAAATAACAAATCAAAGACCTAGTGAATCTAAATAATGAAACAATCTCAATATATGTAAACATAAACTTTAAAATCTCTTTAAATTATTAATCAAAAAAGTTAATAATTAAAGAAACAGGACAAAAAAACAGATATTCTATGATGCCTCACCTAATTTGCTCTTATCTAACAACTAGATAAATACACTATCTCTAGAGTAAAAGAAAAAGTTCCAGAGGAAAAAATCTAGGTTATGTTTCTGAGCTAATCAATCTGTGTGTTTTAATTTTTCAGCAATAGAAATGCAGCTCTTCCAGCCTTAAATTCCATTTCATACTATTACACAAGAATGACTCTTTCTAATTACTTTATTCCCATTAAGATTTCTAATTCTCATGAAATCTAGCTTATTAACAAATTTAATCAAAATCTTTTGCCTCAAAATAAAAGTTCTATTAAGGGCTTAAAATAAGAATTCAAAAGATTGTGAGATAGAAAATTCTTACTCTGTAACATTAAATGCCATCTAACTGCCTAAAAAAGTATTAAATATTCAGAACATTCTAACTCAAATACCAACTTTCAAAGAAATAATTCTTATTTTTACTTATTTATTTTTTCCTCATCCAAGGACATGCTTAAGAGAAGGGGGAAGAGGAAAAAGACGAGAGAAATATCAGTTGCCTCTCACACAAGCCCCAACTGGGGACCAAACCCACAACCCAGGCATGTGCCCTGACCAAGAATTGAACACACAACCTTTCAGTCCACAGGACAAGGTTCCAGAAAACTGTGCCACACCAGCCATGGCAGAAAGAATTTTTAAAAGTTTATCTACTAACCAGCTTAATAAAGACAGTATATGGGTATGAGTACTTTAAAGTTCACAAAAATTCATCCAGGTTTAGGCTTTTTTAAAAAAATAGCAATTTAAGTTTGTGTAATCTATTAAAAGTTTTTTGTAAATGTTTTCATAATAACAAACAACTATAATAAAAAAAATCCTTTATCTGCATTCCAATGGAGAGTAAATAAAATGTTTAGGCATACTTAATAAACAACTGGTCCACTTACAGAGATCAAGTGTGTGTATGTGCGCGCATGCACGCGCAGGGTAATATGAAATGCATGACTCTGTGTTGCTAATTTCAATATAATTCCAATCCACTTGTTGGATTCCAAGTGTAGGTAGAGCACTAATGAAGTATTTAAGCCATTTTGTTTATATGATTTGCAAGTTGAATGATTCTTCATATCATACTTCAGATTGCTTTATTAAGCACTCAAATCTGGTGTTAGTGAACCTAAATTTGCAACTATCACTACAATACTTGATAAGCTCTGCATTACAACTAACATAACATATACAGCTTTGTAACAGTATATTATCTTCTTCACTAAATGGTGTTTGATATAGCTGACCTGTTTCTATTTGTTTCTTTTTCTCCGTTTCTTTTAAATCAAGGGTACATGCGAAGAGGCTGATACTCACTTCACAGTGATATTTCTAAATGCTTCAAGCACAGTACATTTGAAAGCATATCTGCTTTGTATCTGGATTTAAAATGTCAATTATTTCTTCATTTTGGTACTCTGTAAGTGGTATAAAATGTAAATTTAGACTCTGGGCTCTTAAGTCAAACTATCCAACTCCAACCTTGCTTCCTGTGTAATATTGGACAAGTTACTCATATTCTCTATGCTTTAGTTTCCTTATCTATAAAACTAGACAATATAGTGCCTGCTTCACAGCATGATTAAGATTTAATAACATAATGTATATAAAAGTGATAAGCACTGTGCCTTGCATAAAGTAAATCCTCAGTAAGTGTTATCTCTCATTATAATTACAATTACAGTGTGAAAGCACTAGTCAATTCCAGTCAGTAAAGGGTTGACTTGTCTTGAAAATAACTTATTTAAACAGCTTCTATTCTATGACATTTAGAGGCATTATTGAGCTGGTACTAGTTCTTACTTTGTTCTAGTTAATGCCTCTTCAAATCAGAAACTTAACTGGAATCTTGAACCCTCTTTCAATACAGTTAGCAGATCTGTTAACTGAACAAGATTACGAAAAACTATAGCCAACTACATCATTTCTAAGAACCTCAGAAAGTTGTGTATTTCTAAGACAAAACAAACTTATTATGTAACAATCAGCACTGGTAAAGTTAATCATTCATTTAAAATTGTCTTCCCCATTCAATCTCTATTTACTAAATTCTTTATTGAGTCTTCTTCCAACCCTATCTCCATCAGCAAACTATATTTTTCACTAAGCCAAAGAACTTATATCTAAAATTCTAGGCCAATTTCTGCCCATTAAAAAATAATTATTATGTATACTTGCATATGTTATATGATTATATAGATTAAATAAAACATGAGTTGGTTAGCATGAATACACATGGAATCAAAACCTTTAATGTTAACAATATATGATACTGACAGTGGAGATTCAGGAAAAGATATTACATCAACAACAAAAATCTCAAAAATAAACTAAAAATAAGGGTTAATGTACTATCCATGAGGAATCACTTCTCACATTTCAGAGCAACTTCACATATGTGAAGAATGCTCCTAAAAAGACTTTGAGAAAATTACTTCATATATTTGGAGGGGGGGAAAAGGCACTCTAATCATACAGGAAAAACATACAAATTCCCTCCATCAAGAATGCACCCTACAAATTACCCATTAATCCAGAGATTGTGCAGGTGAGAAGTTGTGACAGCTACCTCTACTACTGACAAAATGATATTAAATGGGACTGAGATAACTGGAATGAAAAATGAAACAGAGCCGTAGCTGTTGTGGCTCAATTGGCTGGAGCATTGTTCCATGCACTGAAAGGCTGGAGGTTCAATTCCCAGCCAGGGCACATATCTAGGTGGGGAAGCAACTGATCCATGTTTCTCTCTCTCTCTCTGCCTCTCCCTTCGCTCTAAAATCAATAAGCATGTCCTCAGATGAAAATTTAAAAAAAATTAGAAGTCCCAGTTCTTGATCACCACCAAAACAGATTTCACAGTGATAAAATGCAGGCTGGTGCAGCCACTATGGAAAACAGTTTGGAATTTCCTCAAAAAGCTAAAGATGGAACTGCCTTTTAACCCAGCACTCTGCTGCTGGGATCATACCCAAAGAATCCCAAAACACCAAATCAAAAGAACCTATGCATCTCAATGTTCATAGCAGCAGAATTTACAATAGCGAAGTGCTAGAAGCAACCTAAGTGCCCATTAGTAAATGAGTGGATCAAAAAATGATGGTATATTTACACAATGGAATACTGCACAGCAGAAAGAAAGTAAGAGCTCCTGCCTTTCGCAACAGCATGGATGGAACTGGAGAGCATTATGCTAAGTGAAATAAACCAGGGGGCAAAAGACAAATACCTTATGATCTCACCTATTAGTGGAACCTAACCAACAATACAAACAAGCAAGGAAAATATGACCAGCAACACTGAAAGAAAAAAGAAACCAACAGAACCAAGAGGGAAGGGGGGGTGCAGGGAAAGGGAAGGGAAGGGTCAAGTCAAGGAACATGTATAAAGGACCCTTGGACAAAGTCAAGTGGGGAAGGATTGAGGGGGTGGGAGGAGTGCAGGGGAAAGTGGTGGCAGGAAGGTGGAGACGAATGTATTTGAACAATAAAAAAAATAAAATAATAACCCCCCCCACAAAAAAA